AGATTGAAAAAAACCCATGCAGGCACAATGCAAGTGTCAGAGATACGTTCTAGTTTACCACCTTATAAGCCTCCCTGCTTTTGCATCTCACCACGAATGCTACGATAAACGTATAAATTGTATACATATTCCTTTAGCGCAAGAGATGAATATCAAAATGTCACCAGACATATTAACAGCACTCTTCAATGCAATTAAATTATAAGCAAGGGTAAATATGAATCAGAATGAATACAGAAGCATACTGTTTTCCTGCTTTTCTCTTATGACAAGCTATTTGAGAAAATGTTTAAAACTGTCTACAAATTCCCTCAGAGCAGGCGCTACAGACCTATCGTCCATATATTCCTTGGCGGGCACACACGCCTGATAAATACATATGAACCAAAATTTATATATAATGTCCTTCCGTTTACGGAGTAAGATCATCCATGATTTGTTATCCTGCTGTGCGTTTTTATCAGAGTTTACTGGAAAACTAATCAAAATCTCTACAAACTGTATTGAGCAAGCACAGGCGAAAAATATTTCTTGAAAGCTAGATAATTATGATCTGAAATGGATGTTACGGTTGATTGTTTCAATCCCTTCCCGTCTACCAAAACTTTACTGAAAACCTATAAATTGTCTGCAAATTCCTCAGTCTGTAACAGGCTTAAGATATGAAATGCAGGCACTAGTGATGGAACGTTCTAAACTGATAAATATGAAATAAAGGGATTCCTTTCATTTCTTTGCCTGCTCTTGCAGTTACCTTAGCAGGCCCAATGGACAGATATGGGACGTACATATCATCAACCATGAAAACAAAACAAAAAAACAAAACAAAAAAACAACAAAAAAACACGCAGTAGTGCGGTATTTTTTTACGAAAATGAAAATCAGCTTGTAATTCACCTGCCTAGAATTTTATCACAAGTTTACGACAACTTCGGATCAAAGATGTCAGACTTATTAATGCCATGTGACTTCATTTGACGTCATAACTAACAGAAAATCTAATCTGGTAGACTAAGTTCAGGGTTATCTATGCAAAGCAAAAAAAGTTTTGATATGTCTTATTGCAACAAAAACCCAAGGAGTGTGGCATCCACCTCCAGGCTAAACTAGCTAAGGTTAATAAAACTTGGGCTATTTTAACATTGTCGAAACTTTTGTATGAAGCTGTTATATCTAGTTAATTGATCTCATTGGGTATATTTGTTACCATGGAGACGTGCTGATAGTGTCTCCATTTGAATAAAAGGCGTCTGGATGCCAAGGGCTTCGACTTATTATAAATAGCGAGAGAAGCCAGCATACTAAAATGGAATTGTACTATCAGACAGAAATCTCACCAACATGCTACACAAAGGCCTGGATCTTTGGAAAACAAGAGTGGTTACCTAGCTTTCTTTTCAAAAGTGAGAATGAGAGATTTTGAAAGAGAAAGTCGACGAGTGCAAATACTACTAAAACAAGAAACAAAACTTTGTTACGCACAATTTCTTTAAAGATCGAGGAACGTTTCTCGGAGCATAAAGTAAGACTATCGCACTGGTCTAGTCTACTCACCTAGTTTTGAGAGTTTAATTTTGTCTGTCAAATTGCATTTATGCTGCCATTGACACAGCAAATGAGGGATCCATTTGCTGTATCTTAAAGAGGTGATATTTTATTAATGTCTAAATACTGTCAAGAAAGAAGTCTCCCTTGAAGTCTAAAATAGTGAGTTAAAGAATTTTTAAACTTTATAGTGCTCAGCAATGATTCTCAGTTATGTTAGCTCTAACTTCTACACTTTCTGAATCGGGTTCTAGAGGAACTAAACAACTGGTATACATCGTGCAATAGGAAAGGTTAAAAGGGCTATTCTAGTTACCTAGCTCCTTGTTAGTATTATAAACTCACACTGCTTTACAGGTGTATGTCTTGAATTGTCTCATGCACCGGGAAATCAGCGACTGTCAGAAGCGAAGAGAATTCGGTTTGTGTTCCTTGGTGACACTTTTCGTTGCTGATTTTGGCGACTGGACGATTGTCATCCTGCTGGTCCAAAGCGTGATCATCGCCTTGTTCACCTTCCTCGAGAGTAACATCAAATGCTCCACTGTCTTTAACAGCCGTACGAAGTGTAGTCATTTCAAAGTGTCCCG